CGGACGGCGCTGCGGGAGAGGGACTCGAAGTACTCGACGAAGTTGCATTCTGACGACCCCGACGTGTACCACCTGATCACAAACCGACCACATACCCAGTTGCGCTTTGCGTCTCAAGCTAATGACCATGCACACTGGCTTAGAAACAATGATTTAGAGTCAATTTCTGTGATGACGAACAGCGATAATCGATTCGGTTACAAGCCTTCCGGTTGTCGGATGTCGGGTCGACAGCAATATCACATTTGATAAGCATTGAGGATTCGTGGCTTTGCTTGGCGAGCGATTGCCGGTTCTGAAATAATTATCACTATCCAGGACAAGGAAATTGTGAAACAGAATCTATTTGTAATCAGTGACTTTTGGATATTTTGGCAGAGTGGTGGAAATTACTATTTTTTAGGTGAAAAAAAAAAGAAATTGACGAGGAATCGGCTGTACAATTTTAGTTGGCTAAATGTAATATTTTTCACGAAATTTTAGCCGTTGTAATTAACTTGTAATTTTTTAAAGAAATATAAGGATACAAAAATTAGACACTGTACAGATTTGAAGCGAAAGAGATTAGTGAAATAATCTTACGTTTCTGTGAAATTCAGAGAATCTTCACGACAGGCAATCACTTACCACACAAATGACGAAAATTGTTATTTCGAATAACCAGAATCGATCATTCGATGCATCACAAATGTTTTAATGAAAAGAAACTGGCACAACAATAAGGAAACAAATGAAATAATACGTATATAGATACATATAATATATATATGTGTGTGTATATAAATATATACATATATATATATATATGTATATATACACACACAAATATAATAATCGTAACAGGGTGCACATATTATGTCAATCCGATATGCATTCCATCACCAAAAAAGAGCAATTCCAAGATTATATAAAGAAGTCGGGATAATTCGAAAGTGTTCCAAAGATCAGACAAAACAGCACTACACAAACGTGAAAAACAAACTACTTTGGCAACTCATGTAGAGAGATAGACAGAGAGAAAGAGAAGGATATAAGACAAACGTATCTCCGTGCGATTTTTTTTCTGTAGTTTTAAGCTCTGCAGGCGCTCGTCAAGAGGAAAACTCGAAGCCAAAATCGCTCTAGGAAAGTAAAGCAGTAATAGAAGCAACAAGCAAACAGAAAAATGAAAAATTAAAACAAACTGTAAAAAAAGAAATACTATATAGTAACTATTAAAGATTAGAAATGAATAAATGCGAACGCATGCTATAGAGAATTACGGAAGAGACGACTATCTCGTCGGGTGAAATAATAAGACGCACACACATACCAAACATTCAAAAATGACCGCGTCAAGGAGCACTACCGATTTCATTAAAATGACGTCGCCTCTCTTTATTTTCCGGTTTTTACTCTTCCAACACACGAGAACATTTTTTGGAAGGAAAAAGATGCGAATTGCAGAAGCATGCTATTGCAAAACATTCGCAACGATCGCTGCATTTCTCTTTTTATAATTTCGTTTGAATCAGCCCATCTTAAATATATATAATATAGTTAAATATATATATCGACGAAACAGAGAGAAATCTGAAAAATTTTCAGCACAATAAAGGCAGACATAATTTTTGGTATACATATAAACGGTATACGTATATATATATGTGTCAAATATATATATATATATATATATATATCAAAAAGAAAAAAAAAATCGCCGTTATCATACTGACTTAGGCATATTCTTCTCCGTATGATATTTACGCGACACGTAAATTATCCGAAAAGAGATAATAAAAATGAAAAAAGATTATTGTGCATGAGAGATTCCATATGCATGAAAAACGCTATGGAAAAAAGTGGAAACACAAAAATCAATTACGGCTACGGTTATTTGCAATACATGCATTTGCAATACATGTAATTAAGAAGAGAGTAAAAACAACAGAAGAATATAAGAACAAGAAGAAGATATTATATTTAATTCCATCAAGTTAGGTAAATATTGTTCAGGGTTATATGAACAAGTAAGTAGTTGCAAAAATCGGGATCCAGAGATCAAAGATCATAAGGCATCAGGTAAAAAAAGACATCGGGAGACCAGGAACAAGTTGACGTTTGTTTCTTTGTTTCTTTCTGGGTTGGTATTTTTTCTTTAAAGGAAAGTGAGAAAATTGAGCTGATTTTGGCTCCAACCTGGCTGGTTCGAAGCAGCGGTGTCTGCAACGCTCCTAGGTTCAACTTCGGCAGGACTGGGACTTAGTTCCTTAGCAGGATCACCGGAGGAAGTAGAGTGGGAATGACCGTAATGGTAGACCAGACCAGGTCTGGTTTTATACCGTGCGCTGCATACTGCAAAAGTGCAAATACTGTTTTCCCACAAACCATCCAATGCAACGTCCATGATAAGAGAAATCTTGGTCGACGAGTTGGTTGGACGATATGGGAGGATGTACTTATTTAACCGCCGCGTTAGAAATGTATTTTTAAACCTTTTATAATAACAAAGAACATCGAAAAGATTAAACTATTGTACGACGATATAAAAAAGTTCTTGGTGAATTTCAAGAAACGAGGCGGTTAAAGTAAATCTAGGATAGAAGCTTACAGGTTAGGGACAGCATTTGCACACCTTCCGCACCAGTACATATCCCTATCCACCTACGAATCTATATGTGGACAAGCAGTGAAGGAGTTCCAGCCCAAGAAGCAAAACTAATACGATGCAAGGCTTGATGCTTGTATACTCCTACAGAATGAGCTCGCTACAGTGTGAGCCAGTACATTCTTGCTCTGTTATTGGCAGGTAGTATAGAAGTCCGAAGATATTTGGCCAATTTCGTAAGCTCGACGTGATCGAGATAAAAAATTTCGAATATCGTGAGGTTTCTTCTATCGTTGCGTGATCGAAGCTTACTAGTCGAGACCAAATGTCTTTAGATTTATTTTCTGCTAATCTAACAGGAGTGGTTTCAAGAAGTAAACAGATTGCAGGCACATTCGAGTTAATTCATAGACTTCGTGTCTGGAAAAAGTTCGATCAAATTAGTAATGACTATTATACTCCTTCAAGGTTTGGACAAGCGCGACGTTACACGTTCATGAAAATTATACTTCAGCTAATTTCGATATCTCGTCTCAACGCTACTGTCATAAACATAATCTTACGTGTTATGATAAATAAAAAAAAAAAATAAAAAAATTGCATTAACCATTACACAACAAATATATAATGAATAGCATTTATCAGATTCGTAACCGTGATTGATAAATCTTCGAATGAATGTGAATTTACGAAACGCGAGTTACGTGATAAACTATAGTATAACTTTAGGGGGTAATTGTCTTTGTACAGAATCATACAATGTACTATTTCATAGAAATTTCACACAACCTGGATTAATATATCGTAGATTCTTCTATATAAAAACTTCAATTCTTTTTTATGCGGATAATCAATCTTTGCCTTTCATCCATGAATCATACCATGTCTCTTCATACTTCAACAAATAGGAAAAGAGAAATGGAGTACAAGGTTTTTGATACAAACAGAAATTATACAGTAAGGACTGGAATATGCTAAGTAATATACTGCAATTCATAAACTTGAAGGAAAACAGCAGTCAATACAATACTGATCAATTCCACTGAATGAAAGAGCACTAAAAGTCAACTGTGGAATTAATTTTACGACTAGAAGGGTACCTTCCCACGTTACACAATCAGATTATACTTAGTTCAATCACCATCCCCAAATGTAAAATTATGCGGCAACCAAGACTAAATCTTTAATAATTTATTTCGAGTTTCCAATCATCATCTTATATTAATATAGTAACCTCTGCGTATCTTGTAAAATAATACGTAGGCATCGTAAAAATATAGTTATTTAATAAAATTAACAAATCTTCTAATGCAATGCATTTCTTTTCTCTTATTTCAAAATTAACAACTGATAAAACTAATAATAATTATATTTTTAATGAAACTAGTAACAGGAAGTGGTCATTTGTAGTTGTATCTGTGATTAAACTTACGGTCACAAACGAATGGCTTATCAGTGTCAACGGCATCATAGTTGGTTTTTTTGCGCCCGCGTCCCCCACCCTATATTTAATAAAATATATGCATGACGAATTTAATATCTGCCATATGTAAAGAAACTAAATTATGAATTTAAATGAAAAACAAATTAAATATTTTTCTTTTTTCTTTTTAACTTCTTCGGTACGGCGACAGTTCGACGTATAGCGTTATTGGCGAGAGTAACGTAGCGCAAGTGTATCGTATGTACATCTTCTATTATTAATTATATGTATTATTAATCTATAAACAAATGGACAGATTAAAACGATTAAATAAATAAACAAAAACACTAAAGGTAGCAACCGTATCGAAGGATATAAGCATAAACAATTGACTGTGTATTTCGTATCTGTTGATCATAACTCACGCGTATACCGAAAAAATTAAATTAATAAAATAAAATGTTTGCATAACTATGCAGCACCGATCAAATTTACCTTAGTACGTTTGCCCCCAGGACTATCTGTAGAAGATGGGTGGTTTCGTGCAGGATGATGGCCACCTCCACGTGGTTTTCTTCGTTTCCTTTTACTACTATAACTTTCCTCATAATCATAATCACTTTCAGCATCAGGTTCTTCGTACGTGTCCATATCCAACATGTCTTGCTCGTCATAGTACCATGCATCTTTACTATGTTCATCTGCATCAAATTATTATACGTCACGTTATAACAAATGAAATTTATCTTTAACTTTATTTCACTAATAATGTAATATTATTTATTACCTTTAAGGGCCACTGAATCTTTGCTATCGTCATTTACATGTGTTACAGTTTCTACACCTTCATTACCGTCTTCAGTGTCACCTCTTGGTCCTCTTTTTGGATGTAAATAATGCATCAAGTATTGTCGCCGTTTTTTCCTCCATCGTTTACTAGGATATGTATATATCTGGCCATGTAACAAACCGGGTAGTCTTTCTCTTGAAGACATAAATAGCGCAGAGTGATTCTGTGCTACACCTGTAATTTCATATAGTCAAATAACAACAGTAACAATTTTCATCCGTAAATAACTATGCTACATAATTGTATATTTGTAATACTAATACCTATCATTTTTAATTGAATAAGTATGGAGTGCAATTGCTCCAAATATCTTCTTTCAATTATATCAAAACTTTTTCAATAAAAAATAACAAATTCAACGACAGAGTCTAAATGTTTAAATCATTTTTAACAATCATTCGAACGAGGAAGCCTTAAGGATACGAACGAATCATCATTAATTACATTATAGGTATATCATGAAAAACAGATATAAAAATTTTATAGAAAAATTATGATAACTAATACCTGTTTGAGAATCGAGGAAAGGCATACGTAAACGTCGTTCTCTGCATAGTCGGCTATTATAATTTGAGGAATTTTCAATGGCTTCCCTATATGCTGTGTCATTGAGGAATCTGTGAAGAAATCAATAATAGCCATGTAAAGTCCTACATCCTACCAGGAATAAATTTATATTTTACAGTTAAAGGAACACATACCCTTCGATTTTAGACAAATTGCTTTCATTTACAACTTGAATAATTCCTTGTGCAGCCGGCGAGATTGTAATGGCTGTCATTTTATAATAATCAAACAATACGCTCCCAGGATTCTACTCGCCACTTACTGTTCTTGCCGGAAGCAGAGCTCCATATTTTCAGGCATGCGCGTCCGTTTCACTCAGAAATCAGAAATGCGTACTTAATATACCATAGACAACATATAATCAGAGAGGAAATGAAAGTGCTCACGCGTATGGCCCTGGTTGTTCCCGGACTAGTGCTGCATCATACGGCGAAATGCTGAGTTTATTTGACATTAGCATATACAAGAACCTAAATTGAACAAATTAAACGACCTTACATATGAGATCATTTATTGTTGTAAAGTGTTATGAATGCTTTTTGGGGATTTTCTGATAGTACTCATATGAATAGAGAAGTATAGAGACGACATATAGAAGTTTCTAATCTAGAAATCCATTGATTCAAAAGTTCTGCGTTTTCAAAGTTTGGTACTTTTAGCCTACTGCATAACTTACTTTAATCTGATAGCCATTTAAACGATAAATTTCTTATTTATTTAAACACATATTATATTCAGAATAACGGAATCTCGCTTTATTATCGATATATAAATCAATTTGTCAAATAACATTTTGAATAAATGTTATGTACGTGGTCCAACCAATATTACTTGTACTTTTCTATCTCCATAAGACAATATTCAGTTACGTTCATAGTATCAACAAAAATAAACAACGCATATGACAAAAGGGGTCATGGAGAATAAGCCAATTAATTTAATAAGAAATACCAAACTTTAACAATGTACAATTTTTGAACCAGTGCAATGGATTCCTGGACTTCAAACCGTAATTCCTAGATTCAAAATCGTTATATCTTGCTTCCATTTATCGAATTCAAGAAATACTCGATAATTGTATAAAACAAGATCTTTTGCATAATTGCACACTCGTGCTCGTCGCCGCTACGGAGAAGAGGTTCCCCGACACACAGAGAAGCTCGACGGCCCGCCGCGATCGAGTGGTGTAACATGATCTAATTTCAGATATCGTTAAGACAATGTATGTAGATACTAATTTAAAAGTGACATATTTTTTATTTTTGACTTTTTTAAATTTGAACTTTTACTAACATATTTGTGAAATCTTTCCGACTAAAATAAGTAAGCAAATATGCTGTAAATTATATCGTGTCATTTTAATTACAAAAATGTTAGAAACATATCAGTAAAAGTTTTATTGGCAAAATTTTGAGTTAAAATTCTCATCTTATCATATACTCTATCTAACGAGACGAGGCATTGACACTCGAGTTTCACTAATCAGCAGCCAATAGTTGCAGTCGCAACAATCAAATTTTACTACGTTTATTGCCTCGTCTCATTGGATAAACTATAGCAATTTGTAGCTTGCAACATGTGAAGTTTTATTAATAACATTATTTCGATTATGTATAAAAGTTATGCAGCAAAATTTTTTTATGCTCTTTTCAATGAATTTACAAAAGATATTGAAGCTAAGAAAACTGATACCACTATTATATAAACTTACATATATGTGTATGTATAAGCTGATACACGGTCTTATATGATTGTGGCTGATATACATCTAATTAAGCGATAATACTCAATCTAATAAATATATCTACTATTCCTAGTTAAAAGTTATTTTTTATTCAAACAGTACTTCGATTATTAGTAAAATAAGAACAACTTTAGCCGAAGATGCGACTTTATTGTGAAAGATATTATGAGAGATTTTAATGACAACTTTTCGATTTGTGTCGATGTGATTTATAATTTACAACAATAATTTATTCCCAAAAGATATTAGCGCAGTTACAGCAATATGCATATATTGACAATATCTGCAATAAATTACGGAGCACAGCCGTTGAGATGAACATTTCGTTAGTTACAATGTACACTCAATGTTTCTGCTATAATTGCGAAAAATAAAAAATTATTTGTAGCTTCCGAATAAAATTATTTATCGTAATAGCATTTACAAATCATCGAATAAAAAATAGAGTTTGGAGAAAATTAAATAAATTGACTATATATTTCGTTGTCTAATTTATCTCTATGAATAAAATATATTCATGTTTTTGCATAAAAAAAATCTATTTAATAAGAAGGAAGATTTTTATAATAAAATTACAGATTACTTCATAAGCATAAATACATGGATTATATTATACCAAAGTTTGAATACTAAATAAAATTAATTAAATGCAAAATAATCATCTTATGCTTTTATATCGTTATCTTATTAACAAGACTCTTTTTATAATAAGTTTCTATGCATTATTCAATATATTTAAAAAATGTGATTTTAGATCCTGTCGACCTATATTACACCTGATTCTGTCAGAATTATAATCTGGAAATAAATAAATATTCTGTCTGTATATAAAGCTTATTTAAAACTTCTCTTCGCAGTTTCTATCCTTTTTCTCTTTGAATACTTTGAATTTTGCAATTAGGTCATCTACAAGAATTTCCCCATGCACCACATTGTCCCTAGTTCGTACATTTACCGTGCCAGCATTAAGTTCTTTTTCTCCAACAACTAAAAATATATTTATATATGTATTAAACACATTAATATTGTACTACATGATACATATAAAGCATTACTATACAAGACATTTCTTTACCGAGAATAAAGTTAAACTGTGCGAGTTGAGCATTTCGAATTTTTTTGTTCAGAGTATCACTTGAATCTGTATCAATCTCTACCATAATTCCACTATTCCAAAGTTTATCTTTTACTTGCTCCGCATACTCATCAAATTGAGAGCTTACTGGAATAACCATTACTTGTCGCGGGGACAACCAAAACGGCCATTTTCCAGCGTATGATTCTGTTAGAATTGCAATCATTCTTTCTACAGAACCCAAAATGGCTCTGTGAATAATTACTGGCCTTGTCCTTTCCCCAGATTCGCTAAAATTTTTAATTTAAATTTGCATTTGAAATTAAAATTCAAAATTTCAACTTATATCACAAAATTAGTTTAAAATCGTTCTACTTACTTGATATAAGACAAATTAAATCTAATTGGTAGTTGGAAGTCCAGTTGAATAGTAGCACACTGATGATGTCTCTTAAGTGCATCCATAATGGTTATGTCAATTTTTGGACCATAAAATGCACCATCCTCTGGATTAAGTTTCCATGGTTCTCCAAATGCATCTAAACTCTCTGCTAATGCTTTTTCAGCTTGATCCCACATTTCTATATCTCCCATGTACTTTTCGGGTCTCGTGGATAAACATAAATTAAATGTGAAACCGAACACGGAATACACGTGTCTCAAAAAGTCAAGCGCGCCAATCATTTCATCTTTAATTTGATCAACTGAACAGAATATATGCGCGTCATCTTGTTGAAAGCGCCTGACTCTAGTTAGTCCAGTTAATGCACCAGATATCTCATTTCTGTGCAATACTCCGAAATCTGCCATCCTTAATGGCAATTCGCGCCAGGATCTGATACGAACGTCGAAGATCATACAATGACCAGGACAATTCATTGGTTTAAGTGCAAAAGTTTCCTTTTCAACATCAAAGGAAAACATATTTTCCGCGTAATGCTGCCAGTGACCAGACGTTTGCCATAATTTACTGTTATAAATATTAGGTGTAACTACTTCTTGGAAACCCCGTTTTCTATATTCAGAACGAATAAATTCAACTAAAGTATTATAAATATGGGCTCCGCGTGGTTGAAAGAAACATGATCCTGGAGAAAGTTCATGGAAAAAGAATAACTCTTGTTCCTTTCCTATTTTCCTGTGATCTCGTTTTGCTGCTTCTTCCTGAAACTTTTCCCATTCTTTCAATTGTTTGGTATCTGGAAAACTGATGCCATAAATTCTCTGTAAAGATTCTGCATTGACATTTCCTTCCCAATAAGTAGATGAACCTTTTGTGATTTTAATGGCCTTAACTTTTCCAGTATGTCTAACATGTGGTCCTCTGCATAAATCAATTAATGGACCACATCTATATACTGTGGTAGTTGGAGTATGTATTTTTTCATTAATAATCCGAACTTTAAATTCGTTGTATTTAAACATCTCCAAGAGGTCTTCCTTAGTCATTTCTAATCTCTCGAATGGTTGTTTATCTTTAGCTATCTTTTTATAAAGAGTCTCTAAGAATGGGAAGTCTAAATTGGAAATTCCTGTTTCACCTACGTACATATCATAATAAAATCCATTTTCTATTGGTGGACCATAACATAAACAACCACCATATACTCTCTCCATAGCTTCTCCTAAAATGTGTGCACTAGAGTGCCAAAACACTTGTTGGCCATCTGGATGATCAAATTTAAGGAGTTCAAGTTTGCAATCAGATTCCAAGGGTCTGTCAAGGTCCCACAGTTCATTATTAACTTTTGCAATAACAGTACTGTCCGCTAAACCTTGACTAATGTTTTTGGCAATCTCGTATGGCGTTGTACGCCAAGATTGAGCTATAACTTCCTTTCCATCAGGTAGTGTTACTTTTATGTCAGTAACCGTTTTCAAAGCTAATGATGTTTCATACTCTGCTTTAAGCTTATCCCATAATGCAATACGATCCTGAAAAAATAATTATTCAGGAACATAATCAAATAATAAGTATATTCAAAAATTGATTTCAATTAATTAAATCTATTTGTTTCAGTTGTCAGTTATTTAAATACGCAATTTTCAAATGTTAGCAAAATAACATACCTGAATATAACTTGGCCAAGGATTTAATTCAGAAACATTCCTTTCTTCGATGGCAGCAGCTTTTTTCTTTGGTTTCATTTTCTAATATTGAGTAAAATAAAATATTTAATATCACCGCAAATACTAATCATTATCTTCTAAATTAAAAAAACATGAGGCTAATGCATTCGCGGACAATGCAACAATCGTTAAAAGGTATAAGGTTGGATTGCATCAGATTATCGATTTCAATGATATGGGTGGTCATTCTTAACATAGTACAAATTATATCAATGAATAGTTTAAGAACCGAAAAAAAAAAAGAGAATTCAAAACGTGATATTATAACATAATGTTGTAATGATAGTATATCTTATAACCAACCCAAGCATGTGTCCGCTTGGAAACATTGTAAGTGTTTCTATAACTGCAAATACGCAAAGTCGCCAACATATTTTACCGCTAAAAATGAAAATGAAAATATTTATTAAAAAGAATCAGTATTCATGCCTTGTCTTCCTTCATATTCAGGTTTTCCATATTATTCACCACGTCTTCACACAGGTTGTCGACCATATTGAAGCTAGACTTGCTGAGTATATATATAATAATGTAACTGATTCGTTAAACTAGCTCCGATGTACCTCTACTTTCTATACGTACGTTATGATGACGTAAGAAATAGGAATAAAAATTTATTTTATTAAATATTCAATTTATATTTATAATTTAATAGTATAATTTAATTAATATTTATATTTTAATCACAATATTATAAAGAGGAAATGAAGAAATAAAACATTAATATCTTCTCTTTTATTAAAAAATAATCGTCTACAAAACCTGTTTTAAATGCCTTATATATGTATCGATACATATTACAAAATCACACGAACATAACAGAACATCATCGTCGTTAATTTTTATTCGATAAAATTTTATAACTATTTTACAATTTGTTCCCTACGCCCTTAAACAAATAACGTAAACTTATCTATTCCTAAAAGTGTATGCGTTCGTGACGAACAATGTGACTTCGATGATGAAATCTTTTTCCGCAAGCGCGACAAACATATGGCCGTTCATCAGTATGAATCCTATTATGCATTTTCAAATCGTATTTTTTAAAAAATGATTTACCGCACTGAGAACAAACATGGTTCCGTTGTTTTAAATGATCTCGTTTTACATGCTCCTATATCAAAATAATCATTGTTATGTCATTTAGTATATGGTTTAATAATTAGAGAAATATCCTCCGAAAAATACTCACATTTACTTGTGAAGAAGTATTATAAATTTTATTACATATATCACATGCAAACTTCTGTGGACCATCTGGTCTATGATTGTTTGCAATGTGTTTATTTAACGTTGATTTCCAAGCAAATGACATTTTACAGTCTTTGCAATGAAATTTTTGCTGGTCTGCGAAATGGGTACCGATGTGTTGTTTGTAATTGTAACTAGTTGAAAATGACTTTTCACATATTGTACATTGAAACTTTATTAAAAACGTTTTCGATTTCCTTGAGTCTTGTTCATCCTCTAATTTTTCATTACTATTTGTCACATCTTCACTTTGCTCTTGTTTTTCATCTGTTTCAACAATTTGATTATTACTATTATTGTCATCGATAATATCATCTTTTACATTCGATTCTACAGTGTCAATTTCACCAAAATTTTGAAATTGTAAGAATTCATCACTGTCTTTGTTACAATCTGAAATTTTCGAGTTTTGGTTTTCAAGTCCTGATTCCACAAATTCAAGAAATCGCTCGGGACTATCGTCGTAATTTAATCTTTCAAATACTTCGAAATTTGTTTCAACATATTTATCGAATTCACTTTGTGTGTCTAATAGAATCTGATTTGTAAAATTTTTTTCTTCGCCTTGTAATTCATATTGTGAATAATTTAAATCGTTATGTATATCATCTCGTATACTCTGCTCTGCATGATTTTCTTCGTTCATATTTGTACTATCATCTTTACTCTCGGAGCTTTTTGTGGACTCAATAATTTGCGGATTCGGCAATTTTTCAACTAAATTATTAATTAGAAATTCATAAAATTGTTCCCCTGTTTCTGTTTGTACTAAACGCAACATTGGTTCATCATGATTTACAATATTATTTATGTCGTTCAAATCATCGGATATTTTTTCACTTTGTACTAAATTTATTTCTTCATTTTTATGTATATTTGAATCGGAATTAAGATGTTCATTGTTACTAGATTCCGAGAGATCTATCTTTTGAAACATATCGGTAACATTCAGAGGAGTGTTTATTAGGGTGTTATAATTTGATATTGTTTCGGATTTTTGTAAATCCGATTCGTACGTTTGAATACATAATTTATTTTTAAGAATATTTTCATCTAATGGACCAGCATATGCTACATTTTCTCTTTCTGTAGAATCATTGGATTTACATAATAAAAGCGGACTATCATGAACAAGTTGTGTTTGTTCATCGTTAAATGCTACCTCCTCAGAAACACTTAATTCTTCAGCCCCCAAAATTTTTGTTTCACATAGATCTTCTTGTGAAATGTGATTTCTACTATCTTCAATGTTTTCCAGATTGATTTTCTTTAACTTTTTCCATGTAAAAAGGTAACTATATATAGAAATAGTTTTGAATTGTATGATTATAAATGATAAAATATTTACCTGTTCTGATGTGATATAAATAATTGCATCCAATGGTGAAGCTTTTTTCATATTTGTTTCATTTTCAAGAAAGTCAAAATTATTAGTACATTGTGTTTGTTCTTTCAGTTCTGTAGCTTTCTGAAAACTCTAAATGGAAGAAATAGGTCAAAAACATGTAGTTCTTGAATGTTACTTTCAGAATTCTTACCACCTCATTGTTTTTGCACTCCAAGGTTTGCGAATGGGATTTTTCGTGCTCCCTTAAGAGAAAAATAAAATTGAAACTTTCACCACAAATCTTACAGTAATGTTGTCTCTTAACAATCTTTTGCTGACTAGGTGCATTACCTTCAACAAACTGTACATTGACAGTAAGATATACTTATATTCAAAGGATATTACATAATATCACATTTGCTCATCACCTTATTTTTGCACATTGCATGATCTTTTTTCTGTAAATTGATATTGTTGAAATTAGTTTGCGAATGATGTTTAACATCATCCTTTACCCTTTCGTGAATACGTTTGTGTCTTGCAAGGGAACTAATTTGAGTAAAACGTTTTCCACAAATGGAACATGGATATAATTTTTCCCCTAAAAATTCATATCGCATTTAAATTTTTATTCATTATTTGTATTTCATTTTGTGGAAAATTTGATGTACAATATAACTACCAGCATGCATTCTGCAGTGTCTGATTAAATTAGATATGTGATTAAATTTTCTCCCACAAACTTCACAAATACAAACATTTGTTCCTAAATGAATGTTTAAATGTGTTTTTAAATCTGCCTTGCGAAAGAAACCTTTGCCACAAATTTCACAGAGCTGTGACTTTTCGCCTAAATGTATACTTCGATGATGATAATCATATTGAGAAGCTCTGTCAAAAGTTAAACTGCACTGATGGCATTTGAAAGGCCTTAATGTAGTTTCATAAGGATTGTCATCAATCTTTTTAGAAGTATAGTGTTTTGACACTGTTCCTAATTCATTGTTTGCATTTTTTAACCATTGCACATGCTTTAATAATACATCTCCAGCATGGATACGTAAATGATCATAGAATTCTTTTTTATTTATGTATCCAACATCACACACCGGACAAACAAGATTGATAGACTGCATTTGAACCATATCATTCTTACAATTCTCTTCTGGATTTAAAGTGAATGACATGCTCGCATATTCAGACATGAGAATTTTTTTTACAGAGAAACTTTATTTACTTTAAATACAACAATCAAAATAGTGTTAACAATTCTAGCACTTAGGCATTTGTCTTATTAGATCAACAACCTAAAAGATGTAGTATCATTAGCTTACTACATATTTCTGTTATTTATTCCCTCATTATACATGATTTAAAACTAATTGCTCCAATTTGATATTTACGATGCGTTTAAAGTTTTAGTTCAGTGAACGATATAGATTCCATTGAATTATAATACGTACGCGTTAAGCCATAGACGTACTTATTGGTTTATTATGATTATAACAAACTAAATGAAATTCGCACGTTATTTGAAATTCTGTGTCATTATTTCAAATTTATTTAAGGAAAATATAACGTATTATTTTGCTTGTTATTTTCAGATACATGTTATTTAAGTCTGTTCAAGTATACATATACATATAATCAGATAATAAACATACAAAGATACACAGTTTGTGCATTGGTACCCCTGTTTAAAGCCACATATTGGTAAGACTTCGTCATTCGGTTAATTTAATTTTCAAAAGGTAATTACGATTTACCATGTTTAAGATCGAAGCAGTGGCCCGTTAAGAATTTTACTGTGTTTTGTATGCATTTTTGAAGGGTTTAATTTATATATATAAAGTAAGTTCACACACAATTTTTAAGTTTTATACAATATTAAATGTATCTAAAATTACCAGTAAATACTTTTAAAATGCTAAGCAAAATATGCTACTGTTTGTTATGTATCCAAACAAATGATTTAAGTGTCGTTTATTTATGCAAGTACAATCTAATTATATTCATAATTTATTTATTGAATTACTAGGTGAAAACGTAATAATGGGAAATTATGTTAATAAGTTTTTTCCTCATAATACTGAGGCTTATAACAATAAAATGGAAAAAGAAGAAATAAGATGTCCATTATCTACTGATGAAGTAACTCTTGAGACAGACATTATGGAAACTCCACCAATAGTCCGTAAAACATTAATTGATCCTAGATCAATAACAAGTGGAATAAATCGTACACCAATAGAAGTAATTTTAACACAAGTTAACATATATTTTCACAAGTTGTATAATAATACACAATATATAAAATTTGTAATATTTATAGGTGAATTGTACACCACTTGGAACAAATAAAAAAATGATATCAGCAATGCCAAAACATTTACAAACTAAACAGTATTTGGAAACAGATATAGATAAAATAATGCTATGTTTAACTCCAATAAAACATTGTATGCCAAAAGTAATAGATATTCCAAAAGTACAACTGCCAACAATGGTAAATTATGTATATTATAACATGGCTTAGAAATTGTATTATTATCAATAATTTATAAGGCTCACTTAACTATTTTAGGAAGATAAAGGTATAGATATTCCCTCAACACCAACAACTAGTAATTTAAATAATGAAAAGGTAATTACTGATATAGAAAAGGAACGTTTTAATATCTTGGGACTTGATCCTCGATCTCCAGCTGCGGATTTTGACAGAACGCCAATTTTAATGCCAAAATCTATAAAACGTTTAAGAGCAAGGTCTCAAGAATTTTTACATAGAGCTGGTAGTTACGATACAGATATATTTTATCCAAAATTTTCATATTGTGAAACATCATCACAATGCAATGTTACTGAAGTACAGGCTTCACATAGTTTAGCCACAACTGATGTAAATTCTTTGAATTCAGTCATTAGTAATTGCGATAACAAATCCAAATCACCTGAATCATTATATTCTAGTCCTTCATCTGGAAATGAATCTACTTCAGTGAATGGTGAGAAATTGTTCTTAATAATTCAAAGTTAATTTGTATTACAATATGTAAAAAACTTATTTCAAAAATTTATTATATCTAATAAAGAAATATTTGCATCAGCGAAGGAAGAATTGGAAGATTCGAGTGAATCTCAAAGAATCTCAGGGCAAAACAAGTTCAATGATGTATGTGTGAAGAAGGATATAGAAGAAAAGAAAACATGTGTTACTAGCGATGAAATAATTAAAGTATGGAGAGATTCATTGATATTGGATGAGCCTCAAGAATTAAAAACAAGTGAATTAGACAATGTACAAATTATTGAAGAAAAAGTAGCACAAGTATCTAAAGAAGAAGTAATTATAACATTTGATGATGATAATATAGCAAAACTAGCTAATTTTGAAAGTGAAAGAACTAAAATAGATACAATTAGAAAAAAGAAAAAAAATCTAAAATCAGAAGTGAAAATTCCAATAGACGAAAAGAAATTTTCTAATTCTATTAATAAAGATGGAAGTGAATCTACAAAGGTACTTAATAAATTATTTTGCAGACATGGTAGTTGCAGTATAGATATATTTTTTCTAAAATTTTCATATTATGAAATATCACAATTGAATGTTATTGAAGTACAGTTGTTAACAACAAAGTTTTAAAATTCAGTTATTAATGTTTATTATCACAAATCCAGTAAATCGGAATCACCACGATTTATTCGTTTATTTGAAAATGAGTTGGTGGATTTTGAACCAGCAAAAACCGCGCTGAAATAAGCACAATACAACTATGATTTATAATTGAGTTGTAAAGGTGCCGACTGAGAGTCGACCGAAATTCGAAATCTGACCATACAGCCACGAGTTTGAGTCCCAGTCAATCGAGCGCGACTCTAAAATATAAATGTTTATGCTCTATTATAAAGTTTTCATGTTTTATTTTCAGATTCGAACTCCTCTCGGAAATCGTTCAAATAATGGACAAGTACAAACATTATTAATAAAATCACCACAACAGGTATTTAGGAACAAAGGTATTACCTCAAAAATATTGCAAGAAAACACACCACCACACAAGAAACATACTACAAAATCGAAATTAGCTGGTATACAGTGGGATCCAGATTCGACGATTATCATTTAGGGTTTTATTAATTTTTTATAATAGGACAAATTTAGACATAGTTTATATTTTTTATATATTTTAAACAAATTCAAATAATTGTAAAAATTAATTATAAACATAAGTGTTATTCGATTGGAATAGTGCGTATCTACTTGATGTAAAATAAATAATCCTTTGAATAAACTTTTTATTATTTGTCTTGATATAGAATCATGGATTTTCCTTGTTGTTCATTTGCATCGCTGCTCGTACCTGAGATTTGGCTTTTTCAATTGACAATTGCAGATTTTCGCTTGGTTGTACTAACTGGGTAACACTAAACAATATGATAATAATAATTTGTTATGAAAGTACAATTAATACAAAATGCAATATGTAATATACCTTGGATCTTTTATTACAATCCTTTTTTTCTCATTTTCACTTTTTGGTATTAATTTAATAATTATATTATTCCGAGCCTTCTTTGGATTAGAAAATATATTCTTATTTGAAGTATCCCATTTTGCTATAGCACTTGTATCGACAATTTGTGGCTTGACAACTCTAACTTTGAGATTATTATTAATAGGCTGTCCCTTGTAATTTTTTCTTTTGTTTCTTACACAGTCCAATTTTGATGTAGTTTCTTTAAATTCACTTGCTTGAGCAATAATAGCTTCAGTCGGATAATAGGGACTTTGCAATGAATTAGATGCAGTATCCGCTTGATATTCAGATGATGTTGATGGTAGACTAGGTTCACATATTGGCCTTGGATCTAGACTTTGTGGTATACCATCATAAATAGAAAATAATGTTTCTCCAGGATATTGTTGCCAGAGGCGCTCTTCTGTCAGTGGTAAAGCAGGTGTTCTTTTTCTTCTATTATACTGTTCTCTAAAAGTTGTTATTCCATTATAATAACAAGCCAAGTCTTTTATGCTATTGCATAATTTGTTTACATACTTTGGAACAAATTTATCAGTATTTGGATTCAATATATCTTGTTGATTTTTTCTTATACGTATAGCTACTTCTCTTCGACGTTGAAGGAGCTTAGCTCTAGTTTCCGAGACACTTTCAAGTTCAGGTGCATAAAAAACATGTAGTGAACCTCCATAAAAATTTTTGCCATCAATGAATCGTTTTGCTATTCTATATAATGTATAATATAAGACACAATGACATGGATTATTTTATTACCAAATTACAAAAATTCAATTATATAAAAGGTATTAGTGAAATATGAAAAGGTATGAACCTTGCATTTTGTATACGATCATATTGTATATAATATGCTTCTGTAAATTCCTCTGTGGGATAATCAGACACTACATGTATCTTTCTAATATTACCATAAGGTTCAACAAGCTTTCTCACTTCATCACCTAATTGGAGTTTTGGTACTCCACATATCATTAAGTGTTTTGATTCATCATTTATTGTATAAACCTGTTACATAGAGCTAGAGTGTCAAGGAAATATTACAAACAACCAAAAATGATAGCAAATTATGAAATAAACTACGTATTTAAAATAAAATTATTTGTAAACTTAAATTTGTTATTATTTAAAGAAATTCATCGTGTGATTTATGAAAATTGTATTCAATTTTATAATAAATGATATATACAATATGAGAAAGTAACTTATAAAATATTACTTATTACTAAGCATAATTTTATATATGATAGGATACAAGTTCACAATGCTACCTTCACAGACGTCAATCTTTTCCCTTGTCTATAAGGAGGTCGTGTATGACACAATTTTTGTTGTACGTGATGAGGAAGCTTTGTTATGACGCATTTATCATCCATGATTTATATTTTTTTTTACTATATTCTTTTACAAAATTGGAGTTTTTTAAATATATGTAGTTATAATTAATTTTCTAATAAAATTTCATATATTTAATATTTATATTTATTATTGTTGTTGCACCACTTTACATTTTTGTACGCAAGAATGCTAATTGTGCTAAAGATGCTAACTTGGCAACTTATAACAGGTGGCTCTTTTTACGATAGTAATGAAACATGAATTTTTATTCTTGTGGAATTAAATAAAATTAAATAAATATAGTAATGATAATAAAAATTTTATTAATATGTATCTTAAAAATACAGAAATCAGATAACTCAAAAAGGTAACATTCAGGTATATTAGATATGATGTATGAAATGTATTAATTTCCTAGAATCTCTAAAATATCTTAAAAATCCCTATCAATTCTTAAAATTTTTAAATTTTCATTATAAAAGTGAAACATTAGGTTAATACGAATATACTTTTATCTATTCTATATATGAAACGCTATTAGTTAATAAAATTCTATCATAATATATACATTACAGCAATTTATCAAAATCACTATCGGAAGTGGATACGAATGAAACGGATGTGATCATCCAAATGAGTAATGGCGTCCATAGTATATAGGGGACATATAATTTTCTCATTGTTTGCTCGTGTGTGTTTAAATTTACATCAATATAAAGCGTGAAACCAAAAATTATTTCGAAAATAATATAGTCATTTGAATACATATATTTCATCATATTACTTGGAAAACATTTTTTATACAAACGGTGGAAATAACAAGTGATATTGTGTATAATATATATCAAAAACGTGTTAACGTTCGGATTCGATAGTGAATCTAAGAACGTAAGGAAGTATTAAGTTTTTAGCTTGTGTCTTATTCCCCCACCTGCAGAGTTGTAAGCTATAAAAGATACAACATTAAAGCGCGTGTCGCATCCCGAAGAACAAAAGAGAAGGATGGAACGAAAAAGAAAGGTGCGTTTCGTCTCGGAACCACCCAACCAGACTCATCAGTAGGCCTTATGCTCGCAACCCCTGCCTTAATTGCACGGGATATTAGAACATATAGAGAAGAAAGCCGGAGTGAAGGAAAGTTGCTAGACATCTAACGGCGGCGGGCTGAATTATCGCCACTCGCTCGATCCACACACGTTCGGGAGATGTGACAAGCGTTTTACAGTGCAACAGCATCAAAGAAAATTTGTTCACAATTAATGAGCAGGTTGTTTATCAGTTTTTGTAAACAAGCTTCACTTTGCATTAGGGAAATGTAGAATTTTTAATAAAGTTTGTCGAATTGGTTAGCTTCTCTCGAAAAATAATTCGTATAACCTTTAGTAACATTCCGATTCCGATAGGTTTTGTACTCGTTCTTAATTATTATATATTTCATTGCTATACTATATGATTAAAGGAAACTTGAAATTTACAATAATAAAGATAAATAATGCATGAAGTATGTTTCTACCAATAGAAATCGGTATTAGATTTTCACATATTGTGAAAGTACAGTTTCTGTTCGTTTATATTTGAATGTTGTAGATCTCTAGTTCATCAGAAAATGTGTTAAAACAACCATAGTATTATTGCTACTTTATTGAAATTTAAATAGTCTTTTTAAACATAATAAATAGAGCAAATAGTTAGGTCAGACTTCTAAGTTTTTCCATTTATTGGATAACCCAATAGAGTATCATATACCATATGTGAATTGAATAAAAATAATTTGAAGAATATATAAAATATAACATTAATAAAGATTAAATAATGTTAAACTTACTTTATGGAATAATAATAAGAAACATATTTTGTGTTTATTTACAGAATTAACAACTGCTGTTATGTCTGCAAATACTCAATTTGCAAATCCTCCACCAGCTATAAGTTTACCTAATATGTCTGTTCCACCTCCTGCCACTCCAAATTTATCAGCTCCACCTCCTAATTTGACTACAATAAACACATCTGGAAGTTATCAGCACAGATACACTAATCATAGAGATGGAACAAGGGGTTTCTTTAAACCATTCAGACCTTATCATGCACCCAAAATTGTTGCGGCTGGCCAAGATACGTTACAAGATGAATTTGATGGCAAAAGACTTAGGAAATCTGTTATGCGTAAAACTGTGGATTATAATTCTGCCATTATAAAAAGCTTAGAGGTAGGATTCTTAATTTGGTTTGCAAAGTTTTGTGATATCAGTGATGAATAGTGTTATTACATATTTTATATGTAGAATCGAGTATGGCAGAGGGATTACAGAGACAGACGCGCCCTACAGCCAGATGTGATGTATTACCCTGATCTGCTTCCACCACCTAGTTATGTTGACAATCCTATAAATGCAGTCACCACAAGATTTGTGAAGACTGCAACAAATAAAATGCGCTGCCCTATTTTTTGTATGGCTTGGACACCAGAGGGAAGACGCCTTGTTACTGGTGCATCTAGCGGAGAATTTACATTGTGGAATGGTCTTACCTTTAATTTTGAAACTATTTTGCAGGTATTTTATGCCCCTTATTATAGTTTAACAGTAATTAAATATTTCTGTATATTATTAATATTGTTTTGTAATTTATTATCATCATTTGTAACTTTGTGATTTAAATAAAAGACTATATGTATAAATAGGGAGCTTTGGACATAAATAGGGACCAAAACTTTAAAGCTTGAATGCATTGTATTACTTTTTGTGTAGAATGTATACTAGTTTTAGATGCATTAATCAAATATTTGTTTTTGTCTGTTTAGGCACATGATAGTCCAGTGAGAACAATGGTATGGTCGCACAATGAGAGCTGGATGGTCACAGGAGATCATGCAGGCTATGTGAAGTATTGGCAGAGCAATATGAACAACGTCAAGATGTTTCAGGCGCACAAAGAAGCGATTAGAGGACTCAGGTATACCATCCACCACACTAGTCCTTACGTCTCTTGCGCCACTGTTATCGATGATCCGTCCATCCTTGCTGTAGTTAAGATATTGGACATGACTCTCATTCTCTTCCTCTTCTGGTTTTACAACATTTTTGTTTTAAAAATATTAATTCTTGTATGGGTACACAGGTGATTTCTAAAATTTTTCATAAATTGTATTTGAAAGATTTCCTGATATATTAGATGTATGGTGAAGATATTCTCAAGTTTTGAAAAATTTCTGTGATATAAAGTCTGTGATGAAAATACATTCCCTATACTACGTGATGACATCCGTGTTATTACAAATTGATTTTCTTACTTTTTTTTATTAAGGTTTCCTATATATATATATATATTTAATTTTGATATTTAATTGTGATATAAACTATGAGGCTCTATATTTAAAAAAAACTTAATGTGCTATAATACTATCATAAATGTTGTTACAAGTAATTCCAGTTATTTTTGCTTAGTTTCCCAAAATTAATAATTTTTGAAATTTTTACATCTTCATGTATCTTAATAATATCTAAAGTTGATCAGCAAGGATAGTGTAAATTTTTCTGCCAAATATATTGTACGTGTGTTAATATGAAATTTATCAACTGTATTCATAGAGTCTTAGGGACCTAAATAAATTTACATGGTCCACTAGATTACAGTAGTATGAATTTATTATTTTTATATAGAAAGGTCTGAGACAAAAACAAAACAAATTGTAGGAAAAAAGAAATTAGGTCCTTATGGCTCATAGTTTATGGAATTTATATGGTCAGGTTATTAGGTAAAATGTGTATATTTAGAATGAAGAATAAACAAACAAGAAATATACAGCAATACCTAGTCGAGATTCCCATGGAATTAAATAAAAATAAATATCCTGTGTCCTTCTTTACATCATCCAAGTTTTCAATAAAGTTAAATAAAGGCAGTTACAGTATCATATGTCTCTGAAAATAAAAATAAAGTATTTTCTCTTTGGTCTGTGTCACTTGTGCCCTTTTGCAGATAAGAGAGAGAGTAACAGAGAGATATAACGAACTTCATGTACACTTCGGACATTTTTTTTGTGCAATAAATGTTGAACTTTTGAAAAAATATCAATCTTGGTATATCACTCGGTGGTCATGTGGCATCAAAAAGAGATTCTACTTTCATGATAATGGAACAGTTTGTTGCTTGATCAGCAGTGAATTTTGTTTGAGTGCCAGATATGACTGTCGAAGATGGTTTTTTGTTTATTTACAATATTTACACATAGATCTTCCTTTTATTACTGATGTTTGTCTATTCCGCGAGACGAATTCAGAGTAAAAGCCCACTACGCGCATTCTTAGATCACATATATTATCGTTATGTGAATAATTTTTTAAATTGTCCTGAAATTGAATTTCATTCGTGTATTTTTACGCGGTCCTATACACGTTTTTCGCACACATATAGCATATATTTAACTCAAAAAATTTCATACACATGAAGAATTTTAGCAAACATATAATAGTCGCTTGTTATGTATCTGGTTTAAGTAATTTTTTGAAAATTATAATCCTTTATAGGTTTGTCGGTTGATTCTAACTAACTTCTACATGATATGTTTAGGATTCATCAAGGATGCATGTGTAGACATACAAATATGTAATTTATTTAGCAGATGGTACCATAAAAAAAAAGAAAAATATTTATAGTATTCTTTGCTTGTTTCTTTGCATGTGTAGTATCTATTTAATAACCAATGACAAATCAGTAATAAATGTAAGCTATTATATGCTTTAACTTCAATTTCTAATGATCATATTTTGATGTCATATCATAATAATGTCCGTAAGGTGTACCATATGCCTGAAATGTTCTATTGAATATTAATAAACTTTTCATATTCTGTCTCCTTCCACTTTGAATATATTGCAGTTGTATAAGGATAGAACTTCAATAAAAGTTAATAAAGCTCAACGTGTAATCAATCTTTCATCATACTATTCTATTATCTAATATTTTATACATGTGCCTACATGGGATAATAATTACCAAATATGTATTATACATTCCATAACGTTGTAATACTTGTTTCATTGAGAAAATTCTCATTGTGAGCATTTGCAAATAAAGAATCGCTCTATAAGTACATGACAGCGTATTGTTTGAATATAACATTTCTTTTTGGGTGGGTAGTTTCAGTCCAACGGATCACAAATTGGCAACATGCAGTGATGATGGAACAGTCAGAATTTGGGACTTTCTTCGGTGTCATGAAGAACGAATTCTCAGGGGTATATATTATATTATATTTTCTTTTATTATATTATATTTACTCTTTAACATTAGAAAACAATATTTTTATTTACATTTTATTTATTAATTAATTGTGG